TCCTCTCTTTTTTATAAATGTATTTTGTTTTATATATATATATATATATATATATATATATATATATTAGATATTAAGTGAGATTACATAAAGTAAATTTGATACTTAAATAATGAAAAAACTAATATTTTATTAAAATAATAAATTAAGTAAATTTTATACCATGTTAGGCTTCTAATTTTGGAAGGGTTGACATCAATATAAATTAATCGATATTGAGTCGAGCACCCATATTCTTAAATTACAGTATTGCTTTAGTGACTTCTGAATCAATTGCATGGATTGATATTTATGCTTGATTAATGAAATTGATTTTTCTATTATTAAATTTTATCAATCATCTCAATACAAATGATATTATGAAATATTTGATACATTAAAGTATTACATATTGAGTTATAAGAAATTGTGAATGATATAATCTTACATATAATGAGTGTATGTATATGTTTGACTATGATGAAGTAATCCATTGATAATACCAGTGGGGGACCACTAAGGTTTAGGGTTTAAGGTTTATTGATATTGAAGTATCTTAATTAATACAAACTTTTAGATGGTGCTCCTGTGATGATTGTACATGTATGAAATGATATTGATATGTTATTGATATAGTCAGACTCTTTGAATCACATCAAATATTTACATTAATTTATTAAAAAGTTCAACTAGCATGTATATTGTTTCCTTTTTCCATTATATTATTGTAGTTGAGGGTGTGAATATTCATCGGCTTATCTCACCATTATTTTTAAACAGTTTTCTGATAAAATTTGAAGTGATTAAGAGATGAGCAATAGATAGGAAAATGTTTATAGAATGATATACTTAAACATTTGGAGGAGGATATACTTGTACATTTGGAAGAATAGCAACTATAAGACACATTTGGAGGAGTAGCAATTATAAGACAGACCAAGATGTGCTATAGATTAATACACTCCAAGAACTTGAGCTATACCGCCTAGACATTGATGTATTTGTTAGTAGGCCATAGATGTACAATATATGATTGTTCTATGATGTTTTTTTTCTCTCTTTTTTTTTCGTTAGGAGTCCAATGGTGAGACACCACATGCCAAGTGAGCCTCACCATAATACATTGGTATTGGTCAGTGTAAAAATTGGTGGGACCCACTTGACACGCGGCGCGTCACCATTGGACTCGAAACGTGTCCGGAGTCCTGATGTAATATTTTTCCCCTTTTGAAATGACTATAATAAAGTATTTTGAACGTTCCAAATGGCAAAACTGCAATTATACATATATATATATATATATATAAATGATTTTAATTTTTTCACAATTCATATACTCATTGTAAAAGTGAAATATGCTTTCTTAAATTTGAACTCTTTGTCATAAAACCTTTATTTAGTTTTTATAAGTTTACTTTTGAAATTCAACAAATAGTTTAATTAACTTAGTTCTTTTAACTCGATTTTATTTAACATACACTCAATTACTTTAGATTTGAATTTCGTACTTAAGTTTTGTAGTTTGAATTTTGTGTTTTACATTATAGTTATCAAAATTTCCAACTTCCCTGTAGGATAAAAAATTAGAACTCCATTAGAGCCATTTATTACTTGAGCGATACGTATACTTGCATTATTATTATGGGTTTGACAGTTTAAATATTTTAAAAGATAAAATTATTTTTACTAAATTTATTTTTATTGAGATTGAATTGTATATTTATTATTAGTACTGTCGTATGTGTTTTGTAATATTGAAAAATATTTACAAAAGCAACACAAAACAAACTTTCGCATCAGGTACCCTGACCAAAATACCACAGCCTTCTAAAGATTTCTCCTCCCTTCCTTTGACCATCCCTATTGAGCCCTATTGCTCCTTTTGCCTTTATTTGTAGCATCTCGATGTCCTGATTGCAAATGAGTTGCCACCCGTTTGAGATACGATGATTTGTATGTATATATATATATATATGTATGTATGTATGTATATATTACAAAGACAAGTGCATGCTTTTTTTTATCTTTGTTGGATATCATTCTTTAAAATGGATAAATCATAGGATAATATTTTTAAAATCTATATAATTATTTTTTGTTTAATTTTACTATATAAATTTAAGGGGGCAATTACATACATACAATCCAAAACATCACTATTTACAAATCTAACACTCACTTTCATCCATTTTTCAAATTCTCACTCAAATACACAAATTCATTACAAAGCCCCAAACCTTATTTTACATTTTTACCAAATTCTCAATGTTTTGATCATCGCGGCGCGCGTAAATACATCTGTTTGATAGTTCAAAGTTATCACATGAGTGCTAGATTTCATAAATACATCGCTTTCGGGGGTGTCATGTATATAATTCTCCCAAAATGTAAAGACTAATCTACTAATTTTGTACTATTACCTTTTAACATTTATGATGAACAATCCTAACTCCTTCCATATACTTTCCAGCCTCATAAAATATATCTTCACTAAAAACTTAACATGGCAGACTGATATACTAATAAAATATATGGCCGATATTGTCTATAAATAACAGTAAACTTCACATATTTTCAGCAGACAATAATAAGCTTCGTTTTCATCTCTTTTCTTGAGGACAAAAATGGAGGCTCCCAGTTCTTATGACTCTCAGTCTGGACGACAAAGTGCAGCCTATCATCAAACTGTTTGGGGTGATCACTTCCTTTCCTGTAAAATTATTCCATACGCTGAGCTGCAGGTGCTTCCTTTAATTATTTATTATGGGTTATTACTATATATCAGGTGCTTCCTTTAATTATTTATTATGGGTTATTACTATATATAATGATGTTTTTTATTTTATTTTTATGTTCCATAAAGTTTGGAAAGATTGCATTTTGCTTCCTATAGACACTCATAAGGCTGCCTTTTTAAGAAGTTTGGTGTGACATTTTTGAAAAAAAAGAAAAAAGTATAACGATCGCTAGAGCTTTTTGAATAATGGTTTGTTTCTCAGCAGGTTTACAGTTGGTTATTCAACAGCAGGTTCACAGTTGCTTATTCAAACAGCAGAATATTATCGTTTATTTTTTTGGGCGTTTATATAAATAACACCCAATTCTCTATTATGTATTTACATATCTAGCTAACATCAAAGTTAGTTTTTTTTGCATTAATATCATCTAAATCTTTCCTAGTTTATCAAAAATTGGTTTAAAAAGGTGAAGGAGACATTTACATGCATAAGCAAGATAGCATGCATCTAAATGAGTGATATATATGTAATAGTCTCGGACCATGTATATATATATATATATGTATATATATATATATATATATATATATATATTAAATTACATTATGTTTACAGCTTTTCATGTGATAAGATTTTGAACTAGTTGTTAAAGCTTCATATGGATGTGTTACAAGCACAACAGACTTATGCTATAGTTGTTGGGAATAAATATAAATAAATTAATATTTGAAAGCATAATTTTGATTTAGCAAGTCACACCTATTCAAAATTAAATTATTATTGTTAAATTGGTTCATTCAATATTGTGGTCATATGATATATATATATATATATATATATATATAAAATATATATATATATAAAATAAGGAAATTGATATTTGGCAGAGGCGCAAATACTGATTTCCCATGCACTAGGCCCCATGATCAGAACGCCCGTCATGTGTCTAAATATTCAAGAACTCAGTGTCACTAGGAGATCGAACCCGTGACCTGAGAGAACTTACAGTGAACCCCGCCAAACAACAGGTCGCGGCTTGCGACACACACACACACACATATTTCGAGTCAAATATTTTGGCAAAACATATTTTTATATGATTTTATTTTAAACATAATATCATTAAACTTCAAATTTTTTTAAGACTAACTCATTTACATCAACTTGGAAGGCATCACTAAAACCAAGGATGGATGAGCTCAAACTTGAGATAATCCACATGTTCAGCAGCACAAAGGATTCTGTACAAACCATGGAGCTTATTGATACAATCCAACGTCTCGGAGTCGGCTATCATTTTGAAACCGAAATCAATGAGGCATTATGCCTTCTCTTCAAAACTACATATGATGACAATGATCTATACACTGTTGCCCTCCGTTTCAGGTTGCTAAGACAACAAAGATATAATATTCTGGCAGGTAAATAATTTTGCTTTAAATAATCAAGAGTTTTAAGTATTACTTGTCCAACTGAATGTATTTGTAATTTTCATTTTTTATAATGATGGAAGCTACTTATGCTTCAGATGTCTTTAACAAGTTTTTGGATGAGAAGGGAGACATTAAGGATTGCTTTAGCTCTGATGCAAAGGCTTTGTTGAGCTTATATGAAGCCGGAAATCTTGCACTGCCTACTGAAGAGATGCTTGACAAAGCTGTTAATTTTTCTAAAAGTCGTCTCATGTCAATGAAAAGTGAGTTGGAGCCACATTTTGCACTAATCGTGTCGAGTTCGATGGACGGAGCCACATTTTGCACTAATCGTGTCGAGTTCGATAGACATACCACTTTTCAAAAGAACAGACAGGATAAAGACTAGAAGTTACTTGTCGATATATGAGCAAGTTAGTGACTTCAATCAAGTTCTTTTAGAATTTGCAAAAATGGATTTCAATTGTTTGCAAGCACTGCATCAAGAGGAGGCACGAAAAATAACCCTGTAAGTTTCTTCATTGTTGTATCACCATGCTTCACAACAACAAAATAAAATATATCCTTTAGTTAGTTTTGATACAAATTGTTAAATGACAATTTATGCCTTGCAATGACCTTTTTGGGATCAAATATAACTTGCATGTATTATTATTCTTCATATAGCAACTAACAATTATCAACTATAAGAAAAAAAACTAGACTAATCATTTCATGAATGTGTTCATATGACAACAATAACATGAGTCGTATATTTTATTTCACTCTAGGTGGTGGAAAAACTTGGGCTTGGCAGAAAGACTACCATTTGCTCGTGATCGATTAGTAGAGTGTTATTTTTGGGTACTTTCAGTATACTTTGAGCCACGTTATTCACGTGCTAGATTGATGATGACAAAGTGCATAACACAAATGTCCTTTCTTGATGATGTATATGACGTTTATGGAACATTGGAGGAGCTTGAAATCCTCACCCATGCAATACAAGGGTAAAATGATTCACTGTCTCAAATTTTACATGATAGACATCATCTCAAACAATTTAGTATTTTTAAGAACCTTAAGTACCATCCCCCTAATTTGCAATTGTTTATGTTTGGGCATTTGCAAACTTATAAAAGCAATGCTTCTCTCATCATTACAGATGGGACATTGAAAGTGCAAGTAAATTACCAGAATATATGCAACATAGCTTCCTCTCTCTTATCAACACCTTCGAAGGCATGGAAACTGAGCTAGCCCCCGAGCATAATTCATTTCGAATACAATATCTTAAAAATGAGGTATGTTAACTTATTTCAATTATATGATTGAGTTTTTTTAAAAAAGAGGTTGATTTATTATATATTGAGATAAATTTATGCAAGTGTTGTTGAATTTAATTCTTAAACAATGGGATATTTTTTAAAAGTTGAAATCCAGCTATTTTGATTTTGAAGATAATAAGAATATTTTAGTTTGAAAAAAAAAAATAATTATGGATAGAGATAAGTAGTTTATTTATTTATTTAATTATTTATTTATTATGCTTCACTTCTCCCTAAATTTTGTGAATACAGTTGCAGAAAATAGCAAGAGCATATCTTCAAGAAGCAAAATGGGCCAAAACATCTTATGTACCCAAGCTTGAAGAACACCTAGAGATATCACTCATTACTGCTGGCTATGCATTTCTCACATGTGCTTCTTATGTTGGAATGGAGGAGGTGATCCCTAAAGATGTATTTGACTGGGTTATGAGTTTTCCAGAAATTATTAAAGCATCATGTATAATAGGAAGGCTCATGAATGATATTGTCTCATATAAGGTAATACAATTTCAAATCATGGTTCTCCTTCATATCAATTTACTTTTAAATATATACTTCATATTACACATGATTATGTTTCAGCTTGAACAAGAAAGAAATCATGTCGCTTCAGCTGTTCAGTGCATTGTCATGGAGCAAGAATGCTCTGAGGAAGAAGCATGCAAGAAGGTTTTGGAGATGTCAAATAATGCATGGAAAGTCATAAATAAGGAATTTGCCATGAGTGCCAATCTCCCATTTTATTTAGTTTGGCCAATCATTAATCTTGCACGATTTAATGAGTTTATTTATAATGGCGCAGACTTATACACACATGCAGAACAAATCATGAAAGATAACATAAATGATGTGTTAATTAAGCCTATTCAGTTAAGGGATTGAGTAGTATATTCTTCTTATATGTAATAATCTAGTACTTATAATGTATTTGTGCTTCGCTAATTTAATCAAATGTAATTGGCAAGCAAACATGTTCAAATATGTGAGTGAGACAATGAATGCTGCTTGAATTTTCAATGTTTTGATTAAAATGCACATCTATTTTGAGCACGCGCGAGCACATTAACTGTCATATACAGTGTGATTTGAAGGATAATAAATGCATTTTGTTGAGTTTGGAGTTAATGCATCATCGTCAGTCCATGGTATAGTGGTACTCAATCAATTAACTGCCATATTCGATGTGAAATGGATAATAAAGGCATTCTGTTGAGTCTGCAGTTAGTGTTGCATCATCAGTCCATGACACCATGGTACTCAATCAAATAAACTGATGATTAACCCATGTTTTGGGTGTGACATAAAGTGATTCAAACACATTGGACTAAGCACCGTAGTGTCATGAACAAGCACCACTGCGCTCCATGAATGGAATTGGTGATCATTTGTAGCAGGCAAAAATTGTATCATTACTCTACATGGCTTGACTAGGTTGAAAGCTAAAACTGCGACACTAGCTCATTGGCGTTGTAGTGTCATATATTTTATAAATAGAACTTGGGGACAAACATTAGGTTTTTCAGCCCCTACCTTATGGACTTAAGATTCTCTGCTTTTAGTGCCCCTTGTCACCACCCAAAAGAGTTCTTTGGAGTGGTGGATAGCCCAGGACTTAAATACTGTTTTTCGGCCCTACATCTAGCCGATGTGGTGTTTTTTGTCCGTGACACCTTGTTCTAAAATATTTTAAGGATCTTATGACGTCCATGTTGACCTCATTTTTGGTGAGATGATCTTTCCTACTGACTCTCTTAGAGGACTAGTGTTGGGACCCACATCAAGTAGAAGTTCTCAAGCTATATTTTGACTCCTTGTAGTCTCATGTGTGTGGTTTTAAATCATCGACACTTGGTTGAGTTGATTAAAGACCAACACATTGAAACTCAAGATGAGTTCTTACAAGAATTAAGGTTGCTCTAAGAAGATCATTCTGACCTAGGAGTTCAATCTTATGAGACCCCACATGTGCACATCACAAAACATATACACATATTCACACACACATTCACACTACATGCATTCATAATCCACTTAATCGACAGTTCAAATTAATTAAATCATAATTACTCCTAACTAAAATTCTAATTAAAATTTAAATTCCTCACAAAAAATATAAAATAAAAT